CATTGGAAGCGACGTTTAAGGCAAAAGGGGTATGGGAAGGGGTTGTGGAGCGCATTCAGCGACGGTTAGTAAGGCGGAAGAGGCAATATCTTTCGAAAGGGGGAAGATTGACTTTGATAAAGAGTGCGTTGAGTAGCATTCCGACGTACTTTATGTCTTTGCATGTTATTCCGGTGTTTGTGGCGTGGTGGATTGAGAAGCGTCAAAGGGATTTATTGTGGGGCAATGGAGGGGAAGATTTTAGGTATCGTTTGGTGGATTGGGGGCTGATTTGCCAATCCAAAGTGGCAAGGGGGTTGGGGGTTCGGAGTTTGGTGACTTTTAATAGAGCTTTGTTGGGTAAATGGTTGTGGCGGTTTGCTTGGGAGTCGGACTGGTTGTGGAGGAAGGTGGTGGCTGTGAAATATGGGTTAGTTGGGGGGGAATGGGGGACTGGAGATGTGACTGGCTCTCATGGTTGTGGGTTATGGAAAGGAATTTGGTTGGGGAGAGCGGAGTTTTAGGATTGGGTGGGGTTTCGAGTAGGTGATGGGATGAGGGTGCATTTTTGGAAGGATAGGTGGTGTAGGGAGGTTTTGATGGAAGACTACTTTCCTTTGATTTTCAGCATTGCGGTGGACCGGGAGGTTATGGTGGCATCTTATTTGGGGGGTGGGGATGTGGTTTGGGATATTTGTTTACGACGGTAGGTTCAGGATTGGGAGGTAAATCAATTGGTGGAGTTATGGGGTTACTTGTATGGGTTGGGGGTGGCTGGGGTGGGGGAGGATGTTATTGGTGTGGAATGTTTTGGGGCTAAGGGCCTTTTTTCTATTTCGTCATTCTATTGGTGTATGGTGGGGGAGGTGAAAAGGGATTTTCCTTGGAAGAGAATTTGGATTCCGGGGGTACCGTCTAAAGTGGCCTTCTTTATGTGGATGATAGCCTTGGGCCGGAATCTTCACTTGATAATTTGATACGACGCGGTCTTATTTTAGTCAATTGGTGCTCTATGCGGAAATTGTGGATCATTTGTTTTTGCATTGTCCTGTGGCTTTTTGTTTGTGGGGATTTATATGTTCTCCTTTCGGGATTGTTTGGGTACAACCGTGGAGGGTGTTGGACATGTTGTGGAGTTGGCGCGGGGCTCGGGTTGGTCATCGACGTTGTTGTGTGTGGACTTTGGTGCCATTGTGTTTGACGTGGTTAGTGTGATTGGAGCGTAATAGACGAATGTTTCAAGAGGTGTCTCACTTTGTGTCTTGGCTTTAGAGTCGTTTACTTACAGTTTTGTATAGTTGGTTAGAAAGAAAGGTTGATCCAGATACGTTTACTTTTTTAGATTTTTTTGGATGTTGTGATTGGTTAGGAGTTGGTTAATTTATCTTTTGGGATTTTTTGTATTCTTTGCATCATCTTGATGCTTTTTTAATATAATTTGTTTATTTATTTATCAAAAAAAAAAATAAAAAAATTCACACAAAATGACGTGACATCTTGTGGTTTCTTCATTTACAATAAAACATCCATCATTGTCCTCAAAATTTTACAAATGCCACTACTATGTCATTCTTGTTGTAAATTCTGTATAAAAATTCTATAAGCATATCATTTTTCATTCAATAATTTTGCAATGTACCTAGTTGGTTGATGTGTGGTTTTATGTAATGCATTTAGTGATCTTTGCTAATTGTCATGAATAATTAGTGCTTTTGTGGTTGTGGATATGTCTATTCCTTTCTTAATTTTTGAACATTTTTATTGCGCACAAGGGTGTTTAAGATTTTGTCCTGATTAATTTTCGAGCAATAATGTTAGGATGACTACATTTATATATCACATTTTACTTATGATCTCATATGTCATAATTGGATTAATTGAATGGGTCATACCACCAATGTCTATTATGAACACACTAGTAACACATCACATGATAAATAAAATGTGGTACACTAATATAGTTATCATAAAATTATTGGGCTTGTTTGGTTTGTTTTTGGGAAAAAATTTTAGAAAAAATTCTCTACAAACAAATTTTCAAGAGTAATCAAACCAAACAAATTTTTTCAAAAAAAATCTCAAAATTTTATTTGGGTTGCTTCTTTCCAAAATCACTCTCTCTCATACACATCAAATCAATCACTTTTTTTAAAATTCTTTCCCCAAAACAAATTTTCAAAATCATTTCTGAAAAAAAGCAAACCAAACAAGTTTTCGTACTTTTTATCTCAAAAATTATTCTACAAACACAAACCAAACAAGCCCATTGATTTTTGAGTACATGTAATTTCTCTGTTCCACATATACTGTATATTTCTTGGGACAAAGCTTTAGGAGTAGCCTTAAGACGAGGAATAAGAAGTGAAACACTAATTAATCATAAGAAATTTATTTTTTTAAATGACACCACTAACAAAAAATTTCTGGAGTCGCCACTGCCTATAGCAGTAGTTGCCACCCAAAGTGCAAATTTGTGAATTTGCTTTTTTTTTTTTTTTTCCCCGCAACGAGTACCTTTTGATTTGAGGTTTGGTTTTTTGCTTCCTGATAGTTATTCTAACTTACAAATGGCAATGATGAGGGTTTGGAGTTGCTTGGTTATAGTGACTATGGTTGCCGATGGTTTGATAGGACATTGGGGACTCATGTTGGTGACTCAAGCCATAGATTTGCTATTAAAAAAAAAAGAGGGAAATGCTTTGGTGGATTTAAAATTTTTAGATTTGTTATAATGAATTGATTTTTCTATGTTGAAAAATCATTAAAAAAGTTAAACAATGAAGGTAATAAAGTAAATTATCCTAAACTCTTAACCTTGTACAGAGAACGGAGCTTTTGAATTTGAATGAGAATGGGGTGGCGTATGACCAATTTGAAAATGGGGCGTGTAGGTACAGTAGGTTCTGAAGTAGTAGTGGTGAGCTTGGGCATGACTGAAAAAAATGGGATAGAGCGGGCCAGACTATAATAGAGGAGAAGTGAGGGGTGAGGCTTATAGCATTTGACTAAGCCCAGTGTTTGGTGTAGAGGCCGAAGGGCAGAGGGAGGTCAGATTGGGCTGTGGACAAGTAGGTTTGGGTCTGGAAAGAGGAAAGGAAGATCTAGAGGAGGAGGGCAGCAGAGGGATCAAAACCCATCTGATTATGACGGGTTTAAAAAGGCTCAATGGGAGGAAGATGTATTCTGCTCTCATGAGGGGAAGGACAGTGAATAAAGGAACTTGCGTCAATGGAAGTGCTCGTCAAAGACCTTCAATGGAGGCTTTTGGTCATGGGAAAAAGATGAGCCAAGTTTTGTTGCGGAGTACAATGATGAAAAAGAAGTTGGAGAGTTCCCACAGATGGCTGGCAAACATGGGGGTAGCAGGGTCTCTAAAGATTTTGATGAGGCCCAAGTGGGAATTGAGAATACAAAGCTAGAAGAGAGGAGCAAGAAGAATTCCATGAGGGGGAGGGTAGAAGGGCCTAGTTGACTGTTGAAGAAGAATTGAGTAGCAAAATGTTGGACCATTTGGAGGGTCTAGAGGTATGCCAACTGATTTTTAGTGAGGACTAAAGGCCTAACATTAAAGTGCCTATGCTTGCAAGGATAGGAGTGGAGAGGGTGTTTAGATATGGACAATCCCAATTCTACGGGGTAGATCCAGGTTGAGAAGAAAAAAGGGGGTTTCTCTGTTTTGATGGCAAGGAATTATTTTCAGATAGAGGGGCTACCTTCTCGAGGCAAAATGAAATCCCATGGCAAGGGGCCTTTTTTTTTTTTTTTTTCTCGATAAATAAATCCCATGGCAATGGCCAGGGGCTTTATCAGGAGAAGAAATCTAGAGTTAGCCAAAGAGGTGAAGGCTCATGGGCCAACTTAGATTTAATTAAGCAAGGCGAGGGATCCAGCATCCACATAGCCCAAACCTAGAATCAGAATTTGATTCAAGCAAGTCTATTGGGCCAAAGGAGAGGTAAAGATCTCAGTGGGCCGCTAGAGGTGAAGAAATAAGGCAGGGATGAAGATTTCCAGAGAATGGAGAGTAGTGGACAGGAAGGAAAGGAAGGCTGTATTTAGATGCTGATACTAGAGAGCGGTTGGATCCCTCAAAGTCAACGTGTCATTGGTGTTGAGAGGAGATGGGCCCATGTTCCAGGGAAAAGAGAGATTGTTTGGTTGTGGTGGTAGGGGTGGATGGCGACAATCTGGAAATTCTATCTCCAGAGATATGTCCCCTTTTGTTGAACAATTAATTTGATGAAAAGTACACTATAATATATTGATATCAAATTAAGAACACTACCCCTATCATACCACATTTATAGCATGTGCCGTACCACGTGCCCATTCCTCATACCAGAACAATTCCTCCCCCCCTTTATTTTCTTTTGCTTTTGTACTTGGATGGTGTCACCTTGGCATCTTTTGTACTTGGATGAAATTCATTGCTTTGTCTAAGTTGAGTAAAAATAACAAACGACAAATCATTAGAGATGTGGATTTTGAGGATAAACCATTCGCATACGAGGTTTTAGCAGGTTTTTGTGTTCTATGAAAAGTTCACCGACTCAGTATTTTTTTTCTTTCTGTTACTTGATTTGTTTTGTCCCATCTTTCTTTGACACTATGACGGGGAGTGAGATTTTAAATCCATTAGCTCTAGCGTGCCTGTAGCCTGAAAAAAAGAAATGGAGATTTAGAACAGTGTTATAAAAGCCATGATGATATCATTCCTAGGCAAATTACAAATGCTTTCATGTTTTGAATCCTTGATAAGCCAAATATTGTTAAATTTAAGGTGCTCATTATAATTATATGGTACTTGCGGCCTATACTCCAGCAGTTCTTGCTCCAGTGGAACATATTCACACTCCATTTGGCAGGCCAGCTGCCAAATTGCCTAAAATGTGTGCTTGTCTTAATAGCATTGCTGTTTTCTTTGCATTATTTTGGAATAAATATGAAGAGAGTTAAGGTTTGCAATTTAAAATTTACTTATGGTACACATACTGATCAAATGGTTCTTTTGGGTTTGTCAGGAAACATTTGTGCACCCTTTCTGGATATCATGACCGAACAATCTTTTCAGTACATTGGTCAAGGTAGCAACAATATGTTCTTATCACAAATCTATTATATCATATGCTGATTACATGTGCTTGGATGTTTGTTCTGTTTTTAATTCCAAACTTCTCTCTCAGGCATGCACACATGCACATAGTGATATTTAATTTATTGATTTTCTAGAATAGTTACCCCAGGATTCGTTCTGTCCCACCTTATTTCAATTTGTTTGAACCATGGTTTTGACAGGGATATTTGAAATGACGAGTCTTAATACAAGTTTTACTTATTTTTATGTGCTTAAATCATTTTTTTTTGATAAATACTTTACGTGCTTAAATCTTATGATTGTGAATCTCATAGTGACTGTGTAGTAACTTTGTTTTTGTTTATTGTTTCTTCAAATTTTGATTTCATTATTATGTGTGAATATGGCAGGGAAGGAGTAATTGCTAGTGGGGCAGCCGATGATGCTATACGTTTATTTGTTGAGAACAAGGATGGTTTGGTATTCAATATCCTTCTCCTTATTTGTTTTTATCTGTGGTTCATATCACCAGCATAATGCTCAATTATTCTTCTTATTTTGTTTTCATTTGTTGTCATTTCAGTTTTTTGTGTCTGTTTGATTGAATAATGGTATTCTGTCTTTTGTATTCCTGTCCTCATTTTACTATTTGAAGTTTTGGCCTTCTTCAATAGACATTGGTGCTTGTGCCATCTTATCGTGCTCCTTGTCACTTATTAGGGCTACTTGTCACGTCCTGCCAAATTACCTAGACAGCATTGCCTACCAAGAGGAAGTCTCAAGGAAGGGAGGCTAATGGAATATTCCGGAAGCTCCTGGAAGACTTGAGAAAATGTGGAAATATGGTACATAATTCTATAATGTACATGGAAGGATCTAAAATAGGTTTTATAGCATTTAAGTGAAGATTGGAGGAATGGAAGCAATTGAAGCTTGTAGAACCTTCTAGAGAAATGGGGGTGGTAAAAGATCCTTGTACTTACTTCTAGGATGAGGTGGATGTTTGTATAGATATTTTTAGGGAGGATTCTAGAACCCTCTTGTAGGATAAGGAAAGCTTCCATGAGAAGCTTCTCCATAGTTCTTTTCTTGTGTATTCTAGAATGCTCCAAAGGAGCCTATAAATAGGAGATGAGCTCATTTGCTCTAAACTATCCAAGAGTTGTACAAGCTTTATCAAAGTGAATACAAAGGCATTCTTTCAAACTCTCTGTCTTCTTACTTGTCTTTCTTGCAAGTTGGGTTAGGCTAGCATCACCAAGTAAGACTTGTGATTGTTTAAATACTGCACAGATAGCTTGGAAATAACCAAGGCCGTGACACGTGGTATCAGAGCAGGTTTGTGACGAGGGAAGAAAAGGCAACATGCCTTCTGGTGCTGACGAAACTATGGTGACCGAGCAAACCTGTGGGAGGGACAACATTGGCAAAGCAAGGAAGGATAAGTCACTAGATGGACGTGACGTTGTGGCAGCCATGGAGACTCGGGTGGCTAAGTTAGAGCTTGCTGTGGGCGACTCGGGGGAACATCTTGATGTGTTGGAACAAAGCTTGGAACAAGAGGTAGAGGGTCTCAAGGGGGAGATCAAAGAACTCCATGATGACATGCTTTCCACCATCAACTCCGTGGTGCATGATAGCCAAGTTGCCAATGATTCCTTCCAAGCTGAAGTGTTGAAGATGCTCGAGAGCTTTGAAGTCCGCTTGGAGGAGGTGCACCAAGATGTGGCAATGTGCAAGAAGGCTATAGCTGGGGGGGCTTTGACCATGTTGGGGACATCTAAGGTGGAGGTGCCAAAGCCAAAGCCTTTTGATGGAAAGAGGGATGTTAAAGGAGTGGACAACTACTTATGGCACATAGAGAGATACTTCGAAGCGATGGTAGTGACCGAGGAAGATGCCAAGGTACGAATTGCGATCCTTTACCTTGCCGATACAACAACACTATGGTGGCATCGCAGACATGCTGACATTTAAAGAGGTACGTACACCAAAGCAACTTGGGATGATTTCAAAAGAGAACTTAAGAAGCAATTTTATCCTGAGGATGTGGCCTACCAAGCAAGGAAGAGCATGAAAAATCTTAAACAGACAGTCTATTCAGGACTATGTAAAGGAATTCTCTACTCTTATGATTGAAGTCTCGAGTATGACTGATGAAGAACTACTCTTCAATTTCTTGGACAACCTACAACCTACAACCATCGGCGGAGCAAGAATTGCGTCGGCGTGGAGTACAAGATCTTGCCTCGGCGATGGCAATAACAGAATCGCTTATTGAGTACAAACGTAGGGATGGCAGGGTGTCACGGGCTGACTCCTTTAGTGGCGCAGCGGATTAATTTTTCGCCCATGTGGCCGCTCAAACTCCACCAAGTTTAAGCCCGCCATAGCTCGTTGACAAATCGAGTGGTAGTGATCTCACCTGTTTGAACATTAGGGCCTAATGCTTTGTCTAGCAAAACAACTTCACAAGGAAGCTCCGTCTTCACCCGGATGCCACAAGTAGGCCTAACGCCTCAAGTGCACCAAGCACAGCATAAGTCGCTTCATAGCGCCAAGCTTATCTCAAACAAGGTGCTCGCCCAACTTAGGTTCATGTCATCAAGGTGCCTAGCCACACAACAATGTGCTAGCGAAGGCCCTCGACTTAGCCGACAAGCCAACATTGTATGTTGGGTCTTTGATAGCATCTCGAAGTGCCATAGGGTCAAGCATGCCTCAATAGATGTATATCGGATGGCCACATGGTCATGCAAAGTCCACAAGCCACCGAAGGTCAATCTCTTGCCCACGTCGTAGTCCTCGTGCCAACACGTGTGTTAGATTCCGCCTAAGGCCATTGCGCACCTTAGCGTTGCACCAACGTGTAGCATGAGTAAGGCAACGTCTCAATCCGTAGCTTGCTTATAATGTAATCCCTCAATGGACTTAGTCAATGCATAGCTTGATACATTCATTCGGTAGCCCACATATGCGGTGTTGCCTTCCAACCGCTTAGCTTAAGCCATGGGATCCCCTCGTGCAAGGTTGAGCCGAAACCAAGCACTTGAGTTGGCACACGAGGCCTTTGGTGGTGCCTCGATTGCCCGTTCGGTCTAAAACGAGTCCCCAAGATGCCATATTGCGTGGCATAATGGAAACAATGTGTCGAACCTCTCCCTTGGGGGACACGCGCAGTGCTTACATTTTGCACCGTCCATGGGGCTTCCAAACCCACATGGAGACTCTAGACACCCCTCTGAATGCCTAAAGCCCGCCCTTGAGTTGTCCCAAGGTTGCTCACTTCAAGCCCAGTTTGGGCGGAGAGGTAGGTAGGTAGCCCACCTTGCCCCCTTATATATGGTTGTTAAGCATTTAGCCCTCTGGCAGGAGGAAACATCAATATGTTCGAGGAGTCATAATGATTTTTCATAAATTTCACAAGTTGAGAAAAATCATGAAACTTGGTTGGGAAAACACTACCTCCAAGACCTCTTTCCAGTAAAAATTTCAACTCGAAACTCCTTTATTTGGATGCCCAAACAACGCGCCAAAATCTGCTTTGCTGGCTGCTGCTTCTGGCTGGTCTGCTGGGCGGCTGCTGCCGGCCGGCTGGCTGGCTGCTGCTGCCTGCTGGCATGCTGCTGCTGCTGCTGCTGCTGTTGGCATGTTGGCTGCTGGCATGGGCTACCGCTGGCTGCTGTGTGCTGCTGGCGGCTGCTGCTGTGTGCTGCTGGTGCTGCTGCTGGCTGCTGGCATGTGCTGCGACCTTGCTACTGCTGGCTGCTAGTGGCCCGCATGCCTTGGGCTGCTTGGGGCTAATGTCGAGCCACGTTGAGGCACTTCCAACGGCCACTCTTGAGCACTCAAATGGCCACGCCACCACGAGCTAAACGTCACGGAGTTGGCCTTGCAAGGCAACCCATGACACAAGGCCAAGACATCCAAGGGTGACCCTAGCAGAAGTTCTAGTGAAAGCGAGGAGGATGAGGATGAAGGCATCTGACACAAGGAAAGGCACGGCAAGCCTCCCACTGGCAAAGAGGGCAAGGCAAGGTTAGAGAGAACAATGAGATATTCAAACCCAAGACCAAGTGTTTCCTATGTGACGGGCCACACTGGGAAAGAGGGCTACCCAAGAGGCAAGCCCTCAATGCCATGATTGAAGAACGGGAAAAGGTGGAGACTCTGCAGATAGGATCTCTACAGATACTTGGTGCCATCGAATCGAAGCCTGCTACATTGACCCAATGGGATAAGGGTTTAATGTACGTGGATGCCAAGATCAACAGGAAGGCAACCTAAGTCATGGTAGACACAGGCGCGTTGCACAACTTCATCAAGGCGGTGGAGGCCAAGAGGCTTGGTCTTAAACTTGACAAGGGTCAAGGATTGATCAAGACAGTGAACACCAAGGCAAAGCCCGTAGATGGCATGGCTTGAGAGGTTGAGTTGCACCTTGGTGGGTGGCATGGAAAAGTCAATTTTTCGATAGCATCACTCGATGACTATGACATGGTGCTAGGGATGGAATTCTTGCGGGAGTTCAACGTAGCATTGTTACCTCGCAACAACACTGTGCATTATGGAGGGTGGGCATTGCATGGTCCCAATGGTAAGCTAAATACTAAACACAAACTTCTGTCAGCTCTATGTATATCAAGTTGGGGACGGACAAGAAAGAGGTAGTAGGGATAGGTATAATATGTATAATGTGCATGGAAGGATCTAGAATAGGTTTTATAGCATTTAAGTGACGATTGGAGGAATGGAAGCAATGGAAGCAATAGAAGCTTCTAGAACCTCTTAGAGAAATGGAGGTAGTAAAAGATCCTTGTACTTTTAGAATGAGGCGGATGTTTGTATAGATATTTTTAGGGAGGATTCTAGAACCCTCTTGTAGGATAAGGAAAGCTTCCATGGTTCTTTTCTTGTGTATTCTAGAATACTCCAAATAGGAGAGGAGCTCATTTGCTCCAAACCATCCAAGATTTGTATAAGCTTTTTCAAAGTGAATACATAGGCAGTCTCAAACTCTCTTTGTCTTCTTACTTGTTTTTCTTGCAAGTTTGTGGGTTAGGCTGACTTAACATTACCAAGTAAGACGTTTGATTGTCTAAGTGCCGCACGGATAGCTTGGAAATAACCAAGGCCGTGACATACTGCTTTGGTTACCTTTGGTGGGGTTTGACAATTACTTTTTCAATAGTTTTTTTGCCTTTTTGTTTTTTTTGATCTAAAAAAGTAGATGTGTTTGGTAGTTGCTAAAAAAGTTATTTTTAGGGTCTTTTCAAACTTTCTTTTTGATGGGAAATTACCATATTACCCTTATAGTATTGTGGAGCCCTTGTAGGGACATGGTGGAATTTTTCAAAGTATAGAGGGCATCTTTTCACAAATTTCCTAAAAAAGCTGCTTTGCTTTTGGCTTTTTTAGCAAAAAAATTAGTACTTCCCTAAGAGGGCCTTAACGTACCAATTATTTATTTATTTATTATTGTTTATACTCCCCCTCCCTGGTTTCTGATCTTGTCTTAGCTGCTGTGGTAGGTATTAAAATCCAACATGCCATGAGTCACTATCGTTGCTTGACTCAAATGCAACTGATGTTATCTATTCACAAATACACACACACACACACTGTTAAAATTGGGGCCAGTCTAGCGTACTTCTCTGAAAAAGAAAAGGAAAAAAAAAAAATATCACAAGATGTCAAATGATTATATTTTGGAGAAACTAGTGTAACATTGCTAGAAAAACAGAATTTTTATGTTGGTATTTCTTTTATTTGTTTATCACAAGACAGGTCCTTCAGAATAGTTTGTTTATGGACATTGGTTTTGTAGAGTTTCTGCTTCTGAATTTGTGGAAATTTGTGATCCTGTTTTATATATTGCCTCTTTTTTTGTTTTCACAAAACCTTATAGTTAGCTCAACTTTTGTCTCTCTTGTTACAGGTTGACGGTCCTATGTGTAAATTGCTTTTGAAGAAGGATAAAGCCCATGACATGGACATCAATTCAGTGCAATGGAGCTATTCGGTAAAATTAGTTTTCAAGAACATGAAATTCTATGTTTCATCTTCCTGCTAAAAAAACGTCGCATGATATGCATTTAGTCGCTTGATCAGAAATTGGGTGTCCATCTGATTGCTAACTTTAATCTGATGAGCTTGATCACTAGATCACACATTCACACAATATGGATCAATAGAAGTTGCTTCCCCTCTGATACAGAGGATGTCCTATTTTTATTGTATTGGATTAGCGAAATGTTTGTCTTTGCTTTGCTCCCAAATTGTTTGTTCACCCCCCAAACCGGTATCCCTTCACCTGGGACAGCCACTGCACTTGATGGCTCTGGCTCTGGCTCTCTGCTTGTACAGTTCCACCCCTACATTTTTGGGGACTCTTTGGCAAGTGGTACACCACCCATCATGTGGTGTTAGGCTCTCCTTTTTGTACAGTTCTACCCCTACCTTTCTTGGGATTCTTTGGCATGTGGTACCCCAAACATCATGTGGGTGTCAGGCTTTGCTCTTGTACAATTCCACCCCTACCTTTCTTGGGACTCTTCAGCATACGGTACGCCAACCAATGTTCTGAAACCCGAACCATTGGCCAGACCAGAAAAGAGATCGGGCCAAGGGTCACTGGTTCAATTGTCGAGTGAAGTGCAATCGTACCATAATATCATAATTAACTTATAAATGTGTAAATAAAAATTATATGTATTAAAATACATTCATTTAAATTGTTTTTATATTTTAATAAATATTTTTACTGTACACATTTTTATATTGATTGTTTGTAAAAATAAAAGTTAATTCTATTTGTTTTTGAGAGAAAATGTATTGAATGTAATAAGCATTATATATTTATTAAATATTAACATCGTATTTCAGTGGGTTAGTGGTAAACTCCAAGGCAATTACACGACAGGTGCTGTGTTCAAGCCGGTTTAATGAAAATAAGCCAGTTTTGGGGGTTTGGGGGTTTATCTCTAGACCGGAACCTAGACAGTTCGACGGGTCAGCCGGTCAAACCAACCAATCTGGTCCCTAGGGTGCATAGCAATGCGATGAGTATAGAGAGAGATGAGAGACTTTCTCAAGGCATCTCTACTTTGCTCATGTGATTACTTTTTTTTTGTCTGTTGATTTACTCGATTACCTCTTTAGTTTTGTACTAAACTTTCTTAACATATTTTCTTGCATCTGCCTCCATTGAAACTTTGTAGGACAATAGGATGCTTGCATCGGCGAGTGATGACGGGACAGTCAAGATATGGGAATTGACATCCTTACCCTGAAATCAATATATCAAAGATTTGGATATTTCCTACTGAAATCGGTGGAGAGATGCTTCAATGCTTGTGTATTGTTTTATAATTATGATCTAGGGATATATATAGTCCATGAAACTAGCAGCTTTGAGAAATCCAGAAATTGTTTCCAGTATATTTCTGGAGTGTGGTTGTAATTCATGTTGTCACATAATTCTTAATTATTTTATGAAAATAATAAAGAGAAAAGGATAAAGGGTTTTGCATCTGCTTTACAATATCTTGTCATTGCTCTCTCTCTTACGCTTAATATATATATATATATATATATAATTGGGTCTATTTTCTAACAATTTAGAGAGATTTTTAAACTATTGGTAATTTAGCATGCGACAATGCTACGTAGCTCAAATTTTGTGGCTCAAATGGCCAAAATGACGTCGTTTTGAGTACAGAACAACATAAAAATGGTCAAAACGACGTCGTTTTGGCCATTTGAGCCACTTCTGAGCCACAAAATTTGAGCTACGAGACATTTTCCTTTAGCATGTGTATTGATATATGTGTTTTTCTGATTCCACTTGTTCTCTGTTTTCATCCTGTTTCTCTCGTCTTTTGCATCTCCACATGTGATATGCCAAGATATTGAATAATTTGATATACATGGTTTGATCAATTTTTATTTTTATTTTTTAAAACCATTTGAGTTTTTGAAACAATTTGATAATCTAACTAGACAAATTGACTATGAAATTAATCTAACTAGACAAATCCTGAGCCTCTTTTGATTATGAAATTAGTAATCTGAAGCCTAGTGAGTGTTGTAATCTATATAATAAGGTAAGAGGGATTTTGAAAATGTCTTCAGCTATATGTGAGATACATTTTGAATGGAGGGTCTAGATCAATCCTAATGAATATCTAACGGTTGAGAGTAATATATTTCCCGTCCAAACACACTCTACACTCTCTCTCTCTCTCCCATGTCTCCTCCCCCTTCCATCTTTATATCTCTCCCCCTTTCTGTTGCACCTTTCTCCTCCTTATCTCTATCTCCCTCTTTGTTCCTCTTCTTTATCTCTCCCTTCTCTCCAATCCTTTGATTTGAATTGCGATTTCAGATTTTGCCTTCAAAGGCTTGCGAAAAAGGCAGAAAAATTTCAGGTGAGATTCTAACTTTGAAATCCTTGACTTGGGTTCATTTCTGTTGTTTCAGATTTTGCCTTCAAAGGCTTGCGAATAAAGCAGAAAAATTTCCAAAATTTCAGGTGAGATTCTAACTTTCAAATCCTTGACTTGGGTTCATTTCTGTTGTTTCAGATTTTGCCTTCAAAGGCTTGCGAAGAAAGCAGAAAAATTTCAGGTGAGATTCTAACTTTGAAATCCTTCACTTGGGTTCATTTCTGTTTATCATCATCTTTGCTTCGAATCTTCAATCCCTCTTTGTTCCTCTTCTTTATCTCTTCCTTTCTAATTGCGAACATATTTTTTTCTGTTCTGGCAAGAGAAGATCATCTCTCTGCTTCGAATCTTCAATCCCTCTTTATTCTCTTCTTTATCTCTCCCTTTCTAATTGCGAACATATTTTTTCAGTTCTGGCAAGAGAAGATTTTTCTGCACATTTGATATGTTAAAAAATAAAATCTATATATGGAATTGTTGGAATTGTTCTGCACATTTTTCTGCAAATCTAAAAAATAAAAATAGATTTTTCTGCACAAATTTCAGGTGAGATTCTAATTTTGAAATCCTTGACTTGGGTTCATTTCTGTTGTTTCATATTTTGCCTTCAAAGGCTTGCAAAGAAAGCAGAAACATTTCAGGTGAGATTCTAACTTTAAAATCCTTCACTTGGGTTCGAATCTTCAATCCCTCTTTGTTCCTCTGCTTTATCTCTCCCTTTCTAATTGCGAACATATTTTTTCATGTTCTGGCAAGAGAAGATCATCTCTCTGCTTCGAATTTTCAATCCCTCTTTGTTCCTCTTCTTTATCTCTCCCTTTCTAATTGCAAACATATTTTTTTCTGTTCTGGAAGAGAAGATTTTTCTGCACATTTGATATGTTAAAAAATAAAATCTATATATGGAATTGTTGGAATTGTTCTGCACATTTTTCTGCAAATCTAAAAAATAAAAATAGATTTTTCTGCACATTTGATAGGTTGGAATGGTTTTCATATACAAGAGTTGTTTAAATACCTTCAAGGAATTGGAGAAGCCCATGTAAATTTCTATATATGTCTCTTTATAATTGGATACAACGTTTCATATATATCTTCATCCAAATTAAAATGGTAAAGCAACTACAATTTTCAAATAATATAGTAGGGTACAAGAAATGGAATTATTTCCCCATATACAAATGTCAAATGTCAATTGAAACTGCAATTTATATCTGGCAATTTTTTCTGAGAAAATATGCACAAATAAGTTAGAAGGGTAGTTTTAGCTCACTTAAGCAGGGAAAGAAATGTGCTAAAGCTTAAGCTCACTTCTTTGGATACTCAAGTGATAAAACTTAAAAGTAAGAAAAAGAGGAAGAATAATGGAAAAAACAAATTAATAGAAAAACATATCTGAAGAAGAGATTCCAATTGTAGAAGTTGAGGTTTTGAATATAGTTGACCAACAGAAATTGTTTCTGATATGTAACTATCATATAAAGTGTTTTCAAACATATAGAAAACAAATGAATCATTCTTGCCTTCCATTAATACAACAGTACTGTACTATGAGTCAAGATGCCGTCGTATGCATTGCACTGCACTTTTATAAGTTCGGATGCTTTTTAATACAAACAAACATAAAAAAAACGAAACTCCCATTAATACAACAGTACTGTACTATGAGTCAAGATGCCGTCGTATGCACTGCACTGCACTTTTATAAGTTCGGATGCTTTTTAATACAAACAAACATAAAAAAAACGAAACTCCAAAACAAATCAAATACTCGAGTTTAGATAAATTAATTGTAAAAAGCATATTGTTTGCAGGTTTTTGTTCAAATAATCATGAGCCCATTCTTAAGATTCCAGTGGTAACTGAGGGAGCATCCTAACAGACAAGTTTAATCAACCGGCCTCGCAATTTCTATGGTTACGAGAATAGGTTGAGGAAAATAAGGGTGATAATAAGGCAAGCGGAAATGATAGTGCCTCCATCCAAAATATAAGGCATTTGTACAATTATCAAAAATATTTAAAAAATTGTAGTTATATTTTTTTCCGTGTATCTTTTGTGATTAATTTTATGATTAGTTTTATTGTTGTTGAAACTATGATATGAGTAAAGGTATTCAAAATATTTTTACAAACATAGTCTACATGAATTTACAGACATAGTGTACATGAATTTACAGAGAATCTATTTGGTATTTTTCCAATTTTTTTTTTCTTTCTCCTATTCAATTTTTTTTTGTTTGGCCCAGGTGTGGAGTAAATAATTATGTGTCGTCATCTGAGAGGATATGTTAATTAGGTATTGTTTGAGTAATAAAGTCCGTTTCAGAATTATAATTTTAAATTAAAAATTTAAAAATCACTATAAAATATTGTATAGATTTTTTTTATAGATTTTTTTTTTTTTTTTTTGTAAACAATTAGAAAATTAACCTCTAGATTTTTTTCTTTTTTCATTACCAACTGTTTAAATTGCTGATTAAATAGTTTTTTATTTTATTTTTGGTCATAAAATTATGTTTGGACTTTCTAAATGATAATCATAAATTTAATTTGAAGACTATAAAATTAAAGTCAGTTGGGGAAGAGAAGAGTTCAAATTTGGACAATTGTTGTGCTCCCATTTTAATACCCTTTATGTTGCCAAAGCCGATTTTATTTTCGTTAAAATACATCGTTCAACTGTCATAATTATATAACCAAATATTTTCAGGTTGAAGTACAGCAGTTATGGATAATATTACTATTTTCGGTCAAGTAAGATTTTTTTTTTTCTCCGCCTCCATATAAATTTAAGTACCTCTTTTATAAAGTAAAGCTTATTTATTTAAAATAAATCCTATTTATTTATTTATTTTAAACTTATCATATATAATTTTCTTCTAATAAATGTTGTAAACAACTCATATTTTATAGATGGATGAAAACTTACACCGAACGGTAATATCAAGAAAGAAATGATTTTTTTTCTTATTTATCTGTATAAAGTTTTATTTATCGCTCTAAAGTTTTTCTATATATAGATTCAATTTCTTCAACAAAGAAATGTGAATGTTGTTCGCGATGAGCGTGACTTTAATCTTATTCGCATTCATGAGGTAAGCCTTAAAGTAACTAATATGGAAATGCATTTTTTTATCATTTTATAAATTATTTATAAATAGATTCTACTTATTTTTTTATAAGCAAAGGCAAAGGAGAAACATAAAGCAATATCAAAGAAGACAGAAAAGGCTATGCCTTCTGACAAAGGAAATGAACATGCAAATCCTGTGGTATGGTTTCTTAACATTTTAAAAAAGTTTGTTTTCCAAAAATTTATTAAATTTTGTTTTAATATATACTTTTTTTAAGAATTGCATAGTGTCATATACTATTTTTAATGTACATTTTTATGAGTTTAGCCATGGCCAATTATATGTGGCATTGTCCAGATGTACATCCTTTGATCGTATAAGTATTCTCCTCCCCAAAGATAGTTTGGATTCTACTACAAATATTGTTTGTCCTGAAGTATTGTTGTAGTGTTCCATGTTCATTAAATCACGTTTTCTCAAAAGGTAACCATGTAGATTTATTTCTATTGATTATATATCTTTTTTAATAAAATTTCAATTTAATAATAATTGGAAATATGGATTTTTTTAGGATTGGATTGAAAAATTTATGGAGCTTAAAAGGAGAAATACAACTAGCTTGCTTCGATGGGGATGTAATAAGGTAATTTCAATCTCAATGTATTTTGATATGTATATTTCTAACAAATATACCAACTTATATATATTTTTTTTATTTCCACAAATTACCAGATTGTTGTGCATGTTCCTCATTGGGGATACATACAAGTTGATACAAAGACTTTTTCGAGAGTAATGAGGAGGAAGTTTGGGCAAATACATGTTTGAAGACATGTTATTGACACATCTTCTGTAAAGCATACAAATTCTAGAAAACTTTAACCCATTTTTTTTTAATAAAGTTTTAATTCACTCTTTCGGTGTATGACAATATAATGTTTGTTTTTCTTATGTAGTTATAATTTGATTGGCAGCAGTAGCACTAACTGGTGTGCATTTTAGTTTTAATTTTTTTAAAATTGCAGAGCACTGGCTGGTGTGCATTATTTGATATTTAATTTTTTTTATCTTTGATTTGTTTGAAATTGTAGAGTACAGACTGTTAAATATATTTTTATAACTGCATTTTAATCTTAATATTATTTACATTGTGCCTTTAGGTACGGGCATACGCTAGTCCCCTTATAAGTAAGCTGATAGTTAAAACTAACTAATCAGTTGTATGTAGAAATTATAACAAATAGTCTGATATAAACTTTTAAAATATAAAAGATAAAATTGCATTGATCTCCGTTGAGGTTTAGAGCAAATATAGTAAATTTTACAGTTTTGATATAATTATGTTAAGCTTTCTTGAGATTTTAATTTATATAATACGGAAATCTATTTTCATTAATAATTTGTTAGTTTTATAGATAAAAAAATGATACTGTCTTCTTTCTTACACGAAGATGTATACATTACGTTGTTTATTTTTGTGTTTTTGCACCATCTTGATTAGTTTCGGTCTATTTAACTTTATTAAAAGAAAGGTCAGTGCAATTAAATCAAAATTGTAAGACTTATTATATTTTTTTTTCAATTCTCAAGAGAGTCCAATGTAATTTACCTAATAGAAAAAGTTATAAGCTGCATCAAACAAGCTTACTGTATTTATAAATGAATGTGAGATCCTAAAGGCATGTTTAATAGTGTTTTTGTTTTTATTTTTATTTTTTTAAGCAATACAGTTCTGAACTTGTTTGACATACTATTTTTAAAAATTATTCTTGAACCTTGTATTTTAAAGCAACTCATTTTAAGAAAAATCAATAAGTTATTAAGTTTTGAAAATTTGAAAATTATTTTCGTTCAAAATGAAAATTCTGTATATTTTTTAATATTTTATTGTTAATTTAAAAAAAAATGAAAACAGAGACAAAAAACAAAAAGGGAAGAAATCAAAATGAAGACGAAAAACAAAAGGGGAAGAAAATGAATAAACAATCAAACTTTTATCCCTTACGACTATCATATTGCTGTGTAATTTGTGTAGAAAAAGAAAAAAAATGAAAGAAATATGAACAAAATATAAATTAATTACTTTGTTTTTATTTTATTTTTCTCGTCTTTCTCTTTCTCTTTTCAACTAAGCCAAATAATTTGTTTTCACTTAATTTTCTTTCATTTCCCTATCTTATTCATTTCTATTCCTATTTTTCTTAAATTATTTTTCAAGAGTTAATAACAATAATAATAACAACTCACCTTTTAGAAAACATCGAAAAATTGTTTCTCAAATTTTGAAAATTATTTTTGTTCCAAAAAAAAAAAAAAATGATATGAAAATTTAAAGATGTTTTTGTTCTAAAAAAAATGAAAATAAGCTAAATGTTTTCTGTCTCAATGAGATGAGAAAGCCTGACAATCAACATGTAAAAATTCTCGTCAGATCCCTTACGAGCCAAAATACAAAAAAATGAAAACATAACTGCCATTCACTTGCTAGTATCTTGCTGCTCTATTCATTCTGCCCTTCATCATCATTGAATTGGGTAGATAATGGCACTATATCAAAGTCATCATATAGCTAGCTTATATATGTTTGTGCAGATGATAATTAAACACCCAATAAATCATTCTAATAAACTTGTTTCTTGTAGTATCAAAATGTTCAACATAGGTTTAATCAAAACCAAACAGAAACAAAATAAGAGACAAGAAAAATAAATAAAATATTTTTTAACACCTGTTCTCTATCCTCAAGCCACTGGAACTAGCTCTTAACCTTCCTTCTTCAACCAAAGCTGCTCTAGCCAAAGTTATATTCCTGTTCCCTAATGAAGCATCAAAGGTAGTGCAGTCTATCCAATCCTTGAGCAGCTCTTCCTGGCCCCATATATCCGGTATCCAAACCCGACCCGCCACCTCCACCCGGTGCCTCTTCAGCCTCTCTCGCCCGCTCACCTCCGCCATTGCCCCACCACCATCACTGGTAGTGGTGGTGGTGCTAGCTGGTGGCAGTGGTGGTGGTTGTGGTCTTAATGCAGAAGTAACCTCTTTTTCATGGTGAGGTTTAGAAGAAGGCGGGTTTTTTGACCCAGTTTGATCAGTCTTGGATTCATGGATCACCTTAAAATCATCATTGGATTGATGGGTTTTCTTGGAATCATTAGAAGAAGTCATGGTGGTGGTGGGTTGTTGTGTCATGAACACAAATATGGGTATTCTTTCCTTTGTTGTTGTTGATATGTTGTTCTCTCTTTTTTCTCTGTATTCTTTTTTTCGGTTGTTTTTGATATGAAGAATGAAGAATGAAGAATGAAGAAGATGAGATGATATGAAGATTTAATGTGTGTGGGGAAGGGGTTGAGGGGGGGGTGAAGGAAATGGGTGGGGGTGTTAGTTTACACGTCGTCCACTAAACAAGCTGCTTTTGTATGGTGAGTGACAATTGTACGTGTCTTTTTGTGTGATTGGAGGATTCCCCTTTTGTGTGGTTTATTTCAATTTTGATAAATACATGCATCCATACATGGAGGTGCTGTTTGTTTGCTACTGTTTATTCCTTTTTTTTTTTTTTTTTTTTTGAGTTTGTGATAGATTGTTAGGTGTATAACTTTTATTTATATATTATTAAACAGAATAACTTTAAAAAATTGAAAAAAACTTATTATTTGAAAGCTAAGGAGAAATACTTTTAGCTTATGTTTTTTAATAATAAATTTTTAGTTTACAATAAACTGCACCAGACAAGCGAGTATAAATATATATAAAAAAAAAATGTAAAGAGAAATACATATTGTGAGCTTATCACTTAAAAAAAAAAAAAAAAGAGAGAGAAAGTTCATTATTGGGACATCATTCTTCAGATGAATAGTTCTGCATAAAAATTCTTGAACAACAACATTACATATATACGGTAATGCCATATAAATAAATAAATAGATTCATTTTTTTTTTGTTAAAAAAAAAAAAATAGATGACTTATTGTAATCCATATAATTGTCCCTTGGTACAGCGAAAAAGTCAGAGGTTATGGGTTTGAGTAGATAGAGTGAGTATGCTCCTTTCGTTATAATTTAACTTGCTACCTATTAACATCTTATCGTTTGCCAAAAAAATAAATAAAAATTAATTGATTCATTTAAAAGCGTGAAATTTATTATTATGATTACAAGTGCAACTAGGATGGGTGGTCGAGTTCAAAGGTTACCTAAGCCTAGATCAAATTATGTTGAGAATTACTTAAGCCCGACTTGTAATCCAAATTTGTTTGCCCAAATATGATCTAAGACAGAGAGGATAGAGATGAGAATCGAGGTACCGATGTGTCCCGGTAGTAGTCTTTGCCATTTCAGAGTAAAAAAGAAATGATAGAATTTTGTGTTGTATTATTTGTATATATATATATATATATATATAATGAATATGATCCAATAGTTGAGATAATTTTAACATCATATAAATTATATATATTTAATACTTTCATATATAGTTTAAGTTTCAAGCAATGTTTTGAAAACAGGACTGGACCGGCCGATTCGACTGGTTGAACCGTCGATCAGTTTATGATCCGGTTCGTATATACCCTCTAACCTGTTCACTCTTGAAAACCGGTCATTTTAAACTAAATTGGACGAACTGGCCCATATTGAAGCAAACCGGACTAGTTTGTTATGTTTGATCCAATATTGAAAAAGTTGATGCTAAAAGGACCTAAACCCTGTTGGAAATGGTTGGAAAATTCTGGGTAAAATCAGAATTTTTTCCTAACTTTGGTCTATTATTTAGGTAGAACCCGTGCGTCGTTTTTCGCGGGTTAAAGTGGTAACGCGTTCTATGCCGCGCTGTGATTTACGTGGTATTTTTGATTGCTCAAAACCATTATCGAGTGAATGAAAAATTGAGGCCAAAGTGTGCTCCATGAAAATGGAGTTTTGGTGGAAATTCCTTAAGGTTTGTGTAAATGGCTAGTCTCACATTGATTTGATGGGAAGTTTTGAATGGGTTTATATAACTTGGACTTATAACTTGGGGAGGGCCCCAAGGGGCACCTCAAGTTTATAAAAGGGAGAGATTATGGGCAAAATGGGCTAGGCCCATTGGACCCAAAAATCACCACATGCGCGCGCCGTCCGTCCGGTCAAGCTGGGCTGGCCAAAAATATTTGAATTCAATTTATTTTTAATAGAATAAATTCTGTCCAAATTTAAGGTTTAATTTTTGAATTCAAAATTTTATTTGCACCTCTTCAGAATTCTCTACAGGTTCGGATCTGTCCAAAACCGAATATGTTCGGTTCAAATTTAAATCCACCCGAACAGATTTGAAATTCAAACAGATTCGGTTATCTGTTTAAATTCAAACCCAGCAGGTATAGTACCTATTCAAATAGGTATGCTACCTGTTCAAAATTAAAGGGTGCCATTACTTCTATAAATAGACCAGCCCTTATTTGATTAGATTCATTAAAAAATTTCGTCCCTCTTTTGCTGCAATTCATCTCTGTATTTTGCTGCATTTATTCCATTATTTTTCTGTGAGAAAGAGAGTATACACTAAGTGTGTTCGTTGAACAAATAAATTGTAGTGCTGCATTTATTTGTTGTTGATCATTTCATCATGGGAGATAGACGTCCATATTCTGAAAGCATCGAGGAGAGGACGAATTTGTCTTAAGGACACAGTGTCAAACATTGGACTTGATCAGATTATTATTCGAAGAAATTAATCAAGTAAGTTGTTTAATTTATTATTCTTTTTTATTTGTTTATTAAATCAGATTTTAATTTTGTTTTTGTAACAAAATAAAATCTGTTTTTATTTATTTAATTTTATTTCTAGTTTGATTTTTGTAATCAAACAATTTTCTTTCATTTTCTTTATTTTTTGTATATTCTGTTTGTTGTTAAGTACACAAACAAAATTAATTAATTACAGTGAAGATTGTCCAACAAACCCAACACCTCAAGCTCCAAAGACATGAATTTCCACTCCACCACCATGGTTCCTTATTAATATATAAGAAATATATAATATTAATTGTATTCAAACTAATTTTCCTCAAACATATGTATAATTAATATTTTTACAAACAATATTAATATAAAAAATATATAAACATATATATTTGATGAATATATATATATATATATTAAATTATAAAAATATTTTAAATGAGTGTATTTTATTTATTTTTAAATTATAAAAATATTCATAAAATAATTATGACATTACGGTTTGATACTGGTTCAACCCGACGGTTGAACCAGTGACTTGTCCACCCAATCTCTTTTCTAGTTCGCTCACTAGTTTGATTTTTAAAACATTGGTTTCAAGTTGTTCGATTTATCGTGTCACTCCTTAAGCTCAATTTGAATTTAATTTCAATTTTTACTTAAGCTTAAACGAATAAAAATATATACTGTCCAATCGCATTCTTTTGTCTTGTTTTGTTTTGTTTTGTTTTTTTTTTTGAATTGGGCTCAAGTTGTATAGCGACCCCAGTCTTTTCCCATTTGATTATTGTATTCGGACTTAGGTTTCGTAGATTCCGTCATTGTATAATTGTTGTTGTCATTCATTATTTTCTTATTTTGAGTCTTGGGTTGTGTTGGGAAGATTTGGAGCAGGTTGGTTGAGCTTAGAAACCAAGTCTAGTTGCCCAGATTTTGGGGCTTGTCCGCTCGACGCGGAGGGTTTGGACCGCTTCGAGCGGGGAGAATACACCATCCAGTATGTCCTGTGTAGTAGTTGGCCGCTCGAGCGGGGGATTGGACGCTCGGCGGGAAGTCGTGAGTGAGCTTGAGCGAGAGTTGGGCGCCTCGAGCGGGGACCTGTTCTGCAAAAACTCTGGGAGTTGTGCATTGCGCCGAGCGGGAGTTGGGGAGCCGCTCTGAGCGGGAGTCTGTGAGTGGCGCTCGACACGGGGGTTTCCACGCTCGAAGCGGGGCGACTGGTATAAAAATCGAGATCCGACTTTCTTGGATCATTTTTTCATCTCCTTTTTGATTTTAAAACCCTAGAACCGTCTTCCTCCCTCTCCCTACACACCTTCTCTCTTAGGTTTGTCTACTTAGAGTGTTTTCTACCCCAAGTCCTTTGTTAAAAAAGATAGAGTGGGTCGAAGGGCTTCCGTTTTAATCTGACAAATCTTGGGTTTGGAAGCACTTTGGTTTTCGTCATCTTCTCCATTCGAGTTCTTCGCTTCAAGGTAGGGATTTCCTACTCCATTTTATAGGTTTTGTTCTAAGTTTTTGTATTTGGATATGTTGGGGATACTTTGTATAGTTTGGGAAAATCCTAGTTGTATTATTAAATTAATTGGTATAAATTAATTCGTGGAATTGGGAAAAAGAATGATTAAATTCATGAATTGGAGAATATATATTGATTTAAACGGTGTAGTTGGATAATTTAAATAACTCGCCTATTGAATTGTTGTTATATTTATTTCCAAATCTAGAAATAACTGTTTTGGTATCGGTGGAGGATAGTCGTGATATTGTAGACATTTGCTGTGGATTAGGGATAACTGAAACTAATCAACATTGGTTGAAGTCATTCATTTTGACTGCTGAATTAATACAGACATTATGTGTATTGATTGTGTGTTATATGTTATGTGTTTACATACATTGTTTTGTGTGGGAGGAGATAGGGGATGTACTCCACGGTTTAGGGGAAGATAGGGGATGGACCTCTAAACCGGATTTTGTTTGGGAAGGGATAAGGGATGGACTCCATTAGCATCACTTTTATGTGTGCTTATTTATATAGAAGTGTTTTTATTGATACAACTAAAATGTGTATCAATCTGGAAGTATGAAAGTGTTTTGATTTGAGCTTTGAGTCTCATTTGTTTGTTACATTGGAAGAAATGTGAATATGTATATATAATTCACACTGTTGTAAGTTTGGGCCAGGATTTTCTGAGCCATATTGATAATGTTGGAAAGTAAAACGTGTTTTAGACATTAGTGTCATGAAACTGTGTAATGATGTAATTGATTATCTTGGTTAACCATCTATTGAATGCTATTGCTTTATTCATTGCTTATATTTGGTTTAGTATATTTCTACTGGGCTGTGACTCACACTTTATGGGAACATCATTTTCAGGTTCAGGTGATAAGCTACCTCCAAGGACATAGCTTGGAAGGACTTGGATTTTGAAGATTATTTTTAGTTATTTGCTTTCATTAGTTAGTACATGTAAACATAGAAGCCTAGGGCTTTATTTGTATTTGAGCTAGAACTCATACTTTTGTGTCCAAGTGTTGGCTTGGAAAGATGTAAGCCTGTAGGGCATTTAATTTGATGTTACATGTAATGCTTTTGTTTAGTAAGACTCTG